GTAGACATGTTTGGACAGATGCAGTGGTCTTGAACTGAATTTTTCTATCCTTATTTCTGACCCTTTTTCATCCTTGCCTAAAAGTTCACATTTCAATACATTGAAATACTGGGAAATTTGGTATTTCAGGCAGTGTTAGCGGAAATTATTGTGTATATCACATCAAAAGTGTACAGAAATACCTGCACAGTTTCGATTTTACCTGCACTAAGGTGCATATGCAGGTAGTATTTCCAGCCCTGCTTTTACTACCTTGGGTTTAGAAGCAGTAAGAACTACCCGTTATTTTGTGTAGTTTTGTGTTATCTCACTAACTATAACATTGTTCATTATATGTTTGTAACAGGTTGAGTCAGCAGATCCTTGCTTGTCTGTTTTTGGTCATGTCATGTGAAAATTGTATCTAAAATCAACCTACATTGTATGAAAAGTGTTGAAGATTTGGACCAAAATGATAAAGATCTGCTTAACTCAACCTTAATATTCACTACTCCATTTATATATATAATAGTACTAATCTGGTGCACTTTGCAATGATTTGGATTAACCATGGTTGGAGTTAGAGTTATTGGTAACTATAGATGTATCTAGACACTGGAATTTCAGAATGTGATCCATGGGGAGATTTAAAATGTCAACTGTATGAGATACAAAATACATGTAGGTACTTTTATATAACTTGTGTTGTTTATTGGTACAGGGGACTTTCCCTACCATTGTCCTCTGTGTGGGAAGGGCTACACTCGATCAGACAAGCTGAAGGACCATGTCAAACAACACGAGAAGGGTCGGGTCACCACAGTTTCCCGCACGCGCAAGCCGCGCACGCAACCGCCCGCAGTCGCCAAGCAGGTACAATACAATAGACTTCACGAGAAGGCTGTCTGTTGTGCCAGTATTGACTGGTGTTCTTGTGTGTTGTGATCTAGAAAACTTAAGATGTTATGAATGGATTTGTGGTTTTGATTATAAAGAAACTGGTCTTTATTTCACACACATTGAAATAAAACTTCGTAGCCCAAGGCAGGGCTAAATTGCAGTTGACTGTACACTTGCCGTAATAGTTACAGTGAGTTAAAAGACACAGAAAAAAGTCACACACTGTGTCGGTTGTTCACAATGCATTCAATGTATTTGTATCTCTTGTGGGTTTACGTACAGAAGTGATTGTTCATGGTTCAATTATCCCGTTGAATGTGACAGTGGTCGTTCAAAATCTGATCCGTGTGTACCCTTTGTGTTGGAATTAAGTTAAGCATCGTTCACTCACTCACCTCTGGTTGAGGTTCTCTAGTTGTTCCCCATCTTCTGAGGGTAAGACCGTAACTAAGACGTACTTGCACACTGATGCTGAGGCTGGATAGCAGCCTGCCATTTGCCTCTATCCTGTGGGTTGATGTTATGTAGGTTTGGGTGGTGGGAGTCCTCACTAATGTACAAAGTAAACATGTTATTTTGCCCCCGTCCCCAGGAGCAGGACATGGCTCAGCAATGGCAGCAGGCGTTACAGGAGGCGGAGTCAGCGTCCGCGCAGCTCTCCAGAACCATCGACGTCCACGAGCTCCAGTCGCTCGGCGTACAGACGGAACACATCGTCCGGCCGGCGCCTGTACAGCCCACACAGGTCGCCGTGTCCACCTACCCGGGAAACTTTGTACCACAGGTCTGCAAAATTATCTCTTATCAATTCAAAACAAATCTTTTAGGACAAGCATAACTAAAATGAGAATCAGTTCACACGGCCTGGAGCTAGAAAAGGGCAGACACCATACACCAGCCAATAGATTAGTTTTAGTATCATTATGGATTAGCTCTGTTAAAATTGTATTTTAGTATAGTTCATGTATCTACCCTTGTTGTTTCTTCTTTGCCGTACATTGTATTAGTTACAGTTGTTGAGCAATAAAGTTGATTTGATTTTTCCCACAGATGATCCCGCAGCTCATGTTTAACCCGTCTGCGGACGAGCGTATCCACATCACGGCGGAGGAGGCCCAGAGGCTGCACATCCCCGTCTCCGTGTCGGTCGCAGCGGACGACAGGATGCACATGCCGGCGGAAAGTGTGGAGAGGTTACCCATGTAAAACTAGAGCTTTCCAGGGATCTGTTATATGTGAAGGATTCAACACATAACGAAGCAGTTCAGCTAGAGTAGCTTTCAGATGGCATCCGGCATCAGCATGTCAACAGAAAGTACTGCGCCTGCACGAAACCCTGATTTTTCACGGTTTTCTTCAAATTTTGGGTCAATGTTGCATCGGAATTTTGCCTGTTGCAAATGAAATCTTTTCTGACTTAGCATTTCAACATTACAGACGGAATGTTAACCTAATATACAAGAATATGACCTTATATGAGACATTCTGCTGAAGTGCTATGTACAATACATTATGGGTTTCACGCAGGCGCAGTACGTTCTGCTAACGTGCTTCGTAGATGGGAGGGGGGCTTCTCTGGTGAGCTCATGTTAATCACAGGCCATGTTATGAACTCATGTATACCAAATTTGTTAGTCATGAGAAGAAAATATGTTTTGAAGCAAGCTAGTAGACAGGAATGATTTTTTTCTGTTCTTCATTTTTTTCTCTGTGACTGGAAGGTACAGATTTTTAACATTATCTAGGTTATGTCCAGTTAACTTCTTGTGATCATGGCACCAACTGATGTGGAAATCCATTTACCAGTATATTATAATCCTGTACAGTTATATTTAGTATATTTGATGTACCAGGACTGCTTTAGTCTATGCTAGCTTGTTATCAATTGGGAACAATAACTAATTTAGACTAGACTAACATTACCTGAGTCTTATACATACCATATGTTGCCACTTGTTGTTACCAAGAGGATTTCATTCCTGAGTTCTAGTCACCAAGAAACAAAAAGCTATTTATGTGTTAGACACACAAGTGGTCATTTATTAACTTACAGAGCTGGACTTGCAATATTCCATGAGCTTGCTTCACTTTCTTAATGTGAAAGATGTTTTTTCAGAAGTTAGATTGTTAGAATATAGATTTTTGGAGGATCTTGACCAAGTATTCTTGTACATATGTTATTAATGACATAAGTAGGTGTGTAGATATTACATGTAACACCTAGCTGAAGTGCCAGTAAATGTAACACTGTTGTTGATTGGAAGAAAAATATTTTGCAATTATCATAAGTGTAAAAGCTTTTCTGATTGGTGCATTCCTTTACAGATGTATGTAGTAGTTCAAGCTAAAGGCCAAACAAGCTTGATATAAAGGATTAAAAAATATGATACACTGAAAAAAATTAAATGTCATTGATTGGATGAAAAATATTTTGCAATCATAGCAAATGTAAAAGCATCTCTGATTACAGTTACTGTAGTTTTTCAAGTCAAAGGCCATACAAGCGTGATTCAATAGCTAGCATTGTTTGATGAGATAAAATGAATTGCTCCCTTTGTAAATTGGCACACAAGCACACTTTTCCCCAGTTCCATGACAATAATGAAGGTATACGAACAACATACAAAATAGTGTCGGCCATTTTTTACTCATTGCATTTGCCACAAGGATGGCTGCTGAAAGAGTTCTGACGTCACGAAGAAACACTGTAGGATCATGTCTGCATTGTCTAAATGCTAAGGGCAAATATGTATTAACCCTCTCTCTGCTGATTGTCTCTTCTGATTCATGTAGTTGGTACATAAATGTACCCATGACAGAAAGATGGTTATGGTGATGATTGATGTTCAAGAAGAAAGTGCCTGATAGAATGTTTTCTGTATGTGCTACAATTCCAATGTTACATGCCAGGTACGTGTATGTAATAATATTACATGATACAAACTGGTGTGTTATGTCTAGGGGCGGTTATACCGGCTCTACCGATACAGATACAGATGATACATCATAATCTACATACATGGAACTATAACCTGCTTTGTAACTGTGCACTTTTAATCAACTTGTAGCTTTTCGTAGATTATGATGAATTTTGAACTGTATAACTCAATTCTGACTTCTAGGCATTAAAGTTTTGTACATACAGTATGACATATGTCTATAATTCGTAGAAAAACATATAACAAACATATTACAGTGTATAACTTTTTATCATTGATTCTGCAAAGCTGCCAGGGAGTCAAAAGCTAAGCAGTTCTTTGATGGACCTACCCACATACCAAATTTCATTACTGAATCCACCCACATCATCCTGAGTTGTGCTTACACATACTTTCAAATGCAAACACAACCTAGGTGAAGGTAAGAAATGTGAAATGGAACATCTGGTATCTTGCCCCTTTTTTATTCCACAGAGTAACTCTAATCCAAACTGGAAATACAGCAGTGACGAGGTGTGCGACGTAAAAATGCACAAGTTGAAAGATCTACATAGGGAAAGGACAAAACTGTTCATGCAATATGACAAACATCAACACATATGAATTCAGGGAACTATATAGATTTACATAAAAGACTAGGGGACAAATACTACAGTGAATACCATGTAAATAGAAATATATGTTTCAACATAAACATAAAAAGAACCAATTTCCACAACTACATCTAATATTGGTATGAGCCTACATAAAGTGTCATATCGTCTGATACTGCATACACATTCATTTTAGCTCACACACATACCACAAAAGATGAGTAAATATGTTGCTCTTCAAATAAATCCTGAAATTGTGTCACAAAATGGCATCTACTTAATATTAATGTAAACATACAAGCTTCTTCACTGCATTCTCAAGCTAGACTTTTGGTCTTCTGAGGATGTTTTTAAGTTTGTATGACTTTATAATATTACATTCATTGGATTACATTCACAAATGTTCATGGAAGACTTTCCTTCTTGCAATATACTGCCACAATGTTTTCTATCATTCTATACAATAATTCTCCAGCTATCAAGTGTTTGCATTAATTTGATGTGATAAGGCACTCACTTTGTAGATTCAGTGTAGTTTGATATTTAGTTCTTTAGTTCAAAACAGTGTACACAAACATGCAGTTAAAATACAACAAGACCAAAAGAACCCTTTGGTACACATTGGTATTAGTAACATGAACATTAACATCGTGTGTTCTCACACACTCATTTCTTCTTTAATTTGGTCCCATACCTTAGATAAACTGAAATTGTCTTAACTCATGCTACAAATTCATTAAGAATATACATTATTTACTATTATATATAAAATTTTACATTGGTGACCTCCCCACCATGAATTCATGACACTGCAAATGTCTCCCTTAAATGACTACTGTGCTACAGAATTGAACCACAAACACAAAATGCCAGAAAAAAACTCAATTTTTCTCCCACAACAAAAGAAAACCACCCTTACCTTAAAGTAAATGAATTTAAATTCTTGCTTTGCTATTCTCTAAAATTAATACATAAGTATACATGTATGTTCATCCATGTATATTAACATCTTGCAACTAACAATATCTCAACAAGTACAAGTAAACTGTCAATGAAAGGCCTGATAAACTTTTGTTACAAGGCAGTCTTTAGAGAAATATTTTTCTCTTCAACATTTTCCTACAAACATCTTCCTATTGTAACATATGCTAGATAAATCTACATACATGTGTACATGTAACTTCAGATATACATTTTGCAACCCGTCAAAAAAGTTATCAATTCACTAGCAAACACCCAGAACCTACTACATATGTTTGTATGTTACTTTCAGTATACAATTTACATTACTAAATCTACTTAAAATGACCTAAACTTGCATGGAGACTGTTGAAGCACATGGCATACCACCAACGTTTTCAGTCACTCATTCATTAATAGTGTCATCAAAATCTCATAATTAATATCTAGAATTGCCTCAACCTTACAGCCAAGAACATGTACATATTAGGAAAGAATACTTAGGTTTAATACTTTTACACCCCCCCCCCCCCA